AGTCTGCAGGGTTTAGCTCCATGTCACCGTGTCTCCTTTTGACAAAAATACTCATCATAAAAATAGTGTTGATAATGGCAATTCAATGTGCTGAGCTTTTCTTAATATAGCACTAGAATACTTAGCAGTGGTTTACATGTTTTAACACATCAGGCCCATCCTTCCCAGGAGAAAGGTATCAGAACTGATACTTACTTTACAGGTGAGCAAACTGAGGCTGAAATCACATGCACTTAGTTACATGTCTCAAAACACAGAGCTGGTATGTGACGGACCCAAGCCTTAAACACCAGTCAATGAGGCCCCAGCACCTAAACCCTGGATCACAGTGCTCCATGGCCCCATGAGGCCTGGGGGCAGCAGACAGCTCAGTGACCCTGGCTTCTTCCTCCTACCCTGGAAGTTCAGTCTCATGTCAACAGTGGCACTGACAATTTACCCAACCTCTTCAAGCCTTCATTTCTTTGTCTGTAAAGTGGACAGATTAACCTCGCAAGAAGAAACTAAACATTGGCTTCCAATGCATATTGATCCCCAGTCTCTAAGGAGCACTTGGTGGGATGTTTCAATATTAGTGGGGACACAGCACACAGAACCCATGGGCCGTAAGAGCCCCAGTTCAGTCAGCCACTTAAACTCCATAGGATCTAAACTCCTCCTTCCAGTCCCGTGTATTGTGACTTTAAGCGAAGACTATGTTTTGGTTTCTGGTTCAGCCTCATCATGTTTCCCCAGCAAACTTAATTAAATGTATCCAAGGCTCTCCTGGCACCGTCCCTGCCTTTCACATAGTCAGGCTTGTAATTTCATGTATTTTCCCTTGATCTATTTTTATACCATCACATAATAATTTTTCCCCTACATATACCCATCATCCTGGATTTGCACTTATTTCTTATTAACTCTCTTTCCCTGCCTCCCATAGTTTAAGTGGTGCTTACTCTATTCTTTGCGTAGTAGAGGGCACAGAATTGTACGGTGTGTGTCTCCTGGCCTCTGGTGGCTTGTCTACTCTGTGACAAGGAGCAATCTCCTCCTGCCATTCTTGGCCCCGAGAGGTCCATTTATAAATAGGAACAAGCCATCCACTCCCCAGAAGGGTTGCTGTGTGGCTTGGGGAGAGTAAAGGTGAAGAGTAGTTAGGACAGAGGGCTGCCGTGAGTAATGGCTCATCTTTCTCTGGGATTACTGAACACCACCGAGGCTCAGAGCCTCACACACAGTGATAGGCAGTGCAGTAAAGACATGTGGGCTGTGGAAGCAGATTGGCTGTCTCCCAGCTCTTCCTAGTTGGACGACCTTGGACACATGATTTAAACAGCCTGTGCTTCAGTTTAGAGAGCAAACAACTACAAAGTCAAAATCGACCTACCTCACTGGTCGATATCAGGATGCACTCAGTGGTTCTCAACTGGGAGTGATTTTGCTCCTAGTTGGAGACATTGACAGATGGCATGATTGATGGAGTGGGGATGGGTTCATGCTGTTGTCATCTAGTAGCTAGTGGTTAGAGATGTGCAAATATCCTCTAATGTACAGGACAGATCAGCCAACATAGAGCTATCTCATCCCAAATATTAGCAGCACCAAAGTGGATAAACTCTCATTAACTGACATAATTCAGGTATGTATTGGCACAGTGACTGTCACATAGTTTAGTAATTCAGTTCCATGCCATTTGTCCTAATATCCCCAAATCCAGAACTCTCTTGGGTATGCAGACTCCTCTGTATGTGTGCGTGGTGGTGGTGGGGGTGGGGGAGGAGGCAATGAAACAATGCCCTTACTTATTGGTACCACAGTCCCATAAAGCGGTATATATAGTGCTCAGACCATAGCTGACAGTAGGCAGTAAGACTCTCCTACATTGCATGTCTACTCAGACACAGGAAAGGGAAACACAAATACATATGCGTTCATATTTACATACACAGAGACAGCAGAAAAATATACTGCCCTGTGGTCAGTGCTTCCACTGTACTCTTGCAAATCACAGCTCTTTGAATGACACACCCAAGGACATAGGGTCTGAAAGGATGACCTGGGTATGGCCTCTGGCCAAGACCTGTAGCTTCCTCCAGGCTCCCTCCGAGCCATCCTTCCTCAAATTTCTCTGCTTTCTCCAGCCCACATTGATTTTCTTTCCCCAAGAGCCAGTTTTGGTTGTCACGACCCAGGGGGCCTTGCCACTCCACTCCTTTGCCGAGAAAACCTGATGTGAATTATGGCAGGGGACAGGAGCAGAGATCTGGAATCAGGAAACCAGGATTTGAGTCCCAGATCCTGCTATTGTCTCCTTAGATCTCTTAATTCTCTGAGACTCACAGAAACACTTGTGTCTCCTCTGTTTATGAAATTCAAAGAGACTAATGCCTGCACAAGAGCTTCATGTCAAGAGCTGCTCATATAAAAGCATGACCGGTGTTCACCTGAGATGAACATTTCCATGCGAGCGGGGCCTATGCTTTGCACATCTTATTTAGTGCTGGTAGTGATGGAGGAAAGAATGCAGGAGAGGTATCACAACACTGAGCCACACAAAGGGGATAGGTAGAAGGAGCTAGTGCAGCCACTGAGACAGACATAACATCAAGGTCCTCAGGCACCAAAGCCCGGATACCTGGCGCCCAGGTGAAGACAAGGACATGGAGATAGAGATGAAGCTCACTAGGGAATTTCCAGTTCTCTCAGATTCTACTCCAAGCCAACAAACCCAGGCTCCCAAGGAGTGAGCCCCTCCCAGGGAGAGGCTGTCTCTATCAGGGCAGTCTGTCCACCAGCACAGGGCAGCCGCTTCTCTGCCCCCCTGTGCCTAAGCAGGTGCTCCTTTCCACCAGCTCTCTCCCTCTGCAGGGCAGCAGCCTCCTGCAGGGCTTGTGACTTGTGCCATGCTGGGACTTCTCTGCACTGACCTCCCTCAGGGGAGGACGCTCTCCTGGGACCGCCTGCCTGCAACCATGCAGGTCTCTTTCCCTGCAAACCTGTCCCTTTCAGGGCAGCTCTTGCACCTATGCAAATGTCTTTCCCTCTCCAGTCTCTTTCTAATAAACTTCCACTTTAAATATAACTGAGTCTCTGTCTCATAAAGAATCTCACCATGTGCCCCTGAAAGGGGAGCTCTGGTGACACCTTTCCCAGAGTGAACCCAAGGACCCTGAACTCAAAAGATGACATCAATAGTGCCCCCCCTGGAGCTGGACCCGTGAAAATCTGTGTAATGAGAGTATGCTGGGATGCGAGAAGGAGGCAAAACGAGAGAAACATGAGCATAAACATGTTATTTTCCTCAGCTGTCTTGCTCTTTCTCATTCCTATTCATTACTGTTATTTCATATAGTTTTATGGAAGAGCTAGGGAGTTAATACATCGGCTTAACATCGATAGAGGAGAGATAGAAAAGTCACCAGATGTGAACAGGTACCCAAGAGACCTAAACTCAGTTCCATATACATGGGAGCACCTTTAAAAGAGCCAGTGAGAGAGGTGAACAGTGAGGGGGACGTGGTAAAGGGGGGCATTGCGGAAGGGAGGTAGGTGGGTAGGTGGGAGAGGGTTGATGAGTGAAGGAGCGTGTGGAGCTTCCCAAGTTCCCCAGGTGCTGTGAAGCATTACTGCATGCTGGGGACTTGTTCTGGAATATCAGCAGTCTTTGTCACCACCAGGGGGAGAGGAAGTTCCGCACATAAAGGAGCCAGGAACTTCTTCAGTCCAATTCCCTCCCCTTCAGCTGGGGCTCTTCCCAGGCTGCCAAGCACCTATGGCCAAGGTGGTTCTAATAAAGTTTTTGTTGAAAGCTTGTCTGGTGTGTTCACCCCAGGGCCTCTCTGTTCCTCCATCCTTTCATGTAAGGGACTTAGCTCCAGGGCTTGTAAGACAGAGAACAGTTTTCCCAGGAGAAAGAGGGACAGAGGCAGACTCTGAGAGGATGCAGAAAGACAAAAACACCAACTAGAGACTATGTGGAGGAGACCAAAAAGCAGAGGTTGGATGGGGAGAGGTGGTACAGTGGACACTCACAGCCCTGAGGAGAAGGTATATGGTGTGAAATATACACAGAACTCTAGGCCTCCCTGCCTGGGTACTCTTTTATTCTGGGTGGATCTGAAATAGGCCTGCTTCCTCTATGTGGGAGAGACCTGTGTCTTAAACTGAGGGCTGAGTGAAGGGGTCTTAGGGTACAAGCAGTTTGGTCAGGGGTCAGCCTTTCAACAGTGGTGGCTCAAGCCCGAAGGCCTTCTTTCATGAAAGAGCTAGGGGGTTAATGAATTAAAATCAGCAGAAGAGAGGGAAAGAAGTCACAAAATACAAATAGCAGGCAATAGGTCCTTAGGTCTCATTGAAAGTAAACAAAATAAAAGGAAGTTAGAAGCTCTGGTTCTGCCCCAAAAGGCAAGTACTCATATTACAAACTAATTTTGGGTTCTCGAAAAAAAAAAAAAAAATGATGGTAAGGGAGAGTCTGAAGGGCCTCTTGTGAGTTGACTTTCTGATTTCATACTACGAAGCATTTATTGAAAGCTACTGTTGAAGTTATTATTTTTTTAATGACACCATTATCTTAGCAGGTTAGGAAAGAGACGCTTATATGGAAGTGTCAAGGTCAACTGGACATTGAAAGGCAGGAAGAGTGAAGACAGACTAAGACTAATGGGGTAGGTAGCAGGTAGAGTTCTCACCTGACTTCACTTTCACTGGCACCCTTGTATTATAGAGCACCAGGTTAGGGAGCACTTGGTCCACAGCCTCTGAAGGTAGGTTCCCCCCAGGATACACAGCACTCTGCTGCATCTGGGGTGTCTGCTTCCCTTGAAGTCTTCCTGGTGCTGGAGACACACAGGCCAGGATCGGGAGGCAGGAGATGCCCCTTCCCTCCTCAGGAGTCAGCTTAGCACAAGTCCTAACTTCCCTGGGGTTAGAAGAGGGTCCCCATGTTTCATCTCAAGGAAGTAGACTCAGAGTCAGAAATAAAGAAATTCATTTAGTGTTCATTTATTCACAAATTCCTCCATTCTGAGCATCTCCCTGTGCTCCATGTTGGGGTACTATCTCCAACATGCTAGGCACGGCCTGTGCCCATAGGGTGGAGGTGAGGAGATTAATAGAAAATTAATTCCCAATGAGATGAGGAAATTTCAGATGACAAGTGCTGAGGAGAAAAGAAACATTTGACGGGAGAGTGACTGGGGAGAAGATGGGGAGGCCAGTCACGGCTCTCTGAGGTGAAGCAGTCATGGGGATCTTGGATCTTTCCAGGCAGAGGGATATGCAAATACCCAACTCCTGGAAGCAGCGTGGCATGCCTGACAGATAGGAAGCACTCCTGATGTGCCACTTGTGGGGTACTATTTTGCCCTCCATTACCCCCCAGAGGAAGGAGACCTTCCAGGCCCCAGGCCTAGAGATTCTGATTCAGTGGGGCTCAAGGGATGGGAGGGGGTGTGGAGCAGGATTCTGCATGTATAACAAGTGTTGGGTGATTTGAATTCACCTGGCTCTGTCATCATCCTGCTCCAGCAGATGGTGACATGGGGTTAATGATCAGAATCCCAGAATCTAACTCATTTTTATCCCATTAGCTAGGCATTTATGATTTGGTCAAGGCTCATGTCAAACTGCAGCCACTTAGAAAGCTGATTCAGGAGGCGGCCTCAGCCTCCTTGATATAGCTCAAATGAGGTAATAGCCCAGAGATGGCACCTGGCTTTCTAAGGGCCACACAGCAAGTTAAATCCATTCCGAGACGCAGATCTACTGGCCCTGAAGCCCTGAAGTATACTCTGTGTGCATAGGCTTCTGTAGTTTTCTCCTGGAAGAGAAAAATAAAGCAATGTAAATAAAAATCTCAATAAGGTTTGCATTCATTGTCTCACTTTACTTACATTCCTTCCAGGTATAGCCTTCATGACAAAGTATTATCTAGTTACACTGAAGTAACTAAATGGGAATCATTGTTCTAGGGGGCTTTTATTTATAAAATAGTCAACATCAGAAAACACTAGTTTTGACAAGGGTGAATCTGTAATTTTCTTTATGGCAGACAAGCCAGGAGGAAAGTTGTACATTGAGGCCTTCTGAGTTGGAAATAATACCATCTGAATATTAGAAAATAATGTCTATTATTATTATTATTTTCAATCAGGGAATACAGGTAGCAAGCACGGAGCTGGCACATGTTAAATAGCAAATTAAGTAGCAATTCAAGCTGATTGTAGATCTCTAGATGGTCACGATTTTAGGAGGCTGTACTTTGAGCCTCTTACCTTCTTGGGCTCAGAGCTCCAGGCTCTGTGCCAGACTCAGGCTCCCCAGAGTTGGAAAGGGGTCTTCCTCCTCGCCTCTCAGTAATGCAGCCTCAATGTCAGAGAAACTGAATCTATCATGCATTCATAATTTATTCAAAAATGAATAAATTCACCAGAGCAAAACTATGGGCATGTAATACTAACAGGGGGTTAAATGGACTGCTTTGCAAGTGAAGTTATCTAGAATGTTCTCTACTATTTAGTCAGACATTTAACATCTTGCCTTCATCAAAAGACCACAATTACATACCATTAGGGACATTTCTGAAAGTCCAAGACTAATACACTCAACCTTAACCAACCCCTACATCCCTCCACATAATCACAGGTGCTAAGTGAGTATGGTTTGTAAATTTGATCCAAGAGGAGAACTTTTAACCAACTGAATACCACAACAGCATTTTTAAAGATCCTGGAATGTCTGATGTTTGTATATAAATCATACTGCTAATTGTTTTTCTACCCCCTGAGGGTATTGCCAAAATTAATTTGTAAAAAAAAAAAAAAACTCTATTAAATCGACTTAAAGAAAAAAAGTAATTTTAATATGCATAGATTACTTATATAAGACCAAAACTTAATTTTCTGGAAGGACGAAGTTTTCTCAGACTTACTAGTCAGTTCGAGGTAAGACTGGGAAAGGTTTTTCCTTATTTTTAAGGTCATCTACCTAGAAAACAAAGATTCTGTTTTATCAAAATGATTTCTTGTGCTCTAGGTTGCCTTTAGCAGATCTTTGATTAATTAGGAAAACTCAGTTTTCTCTGTTAACTGAGCTGAGTTTTTTGTAACCAGGTAACCCTGTAGATTTGTCTTTGGAGTCCTTGTCATTTAGGTTAAATAGGTCCACAGTCACCAATGATCCTGTTTTACCATGTGTTTTAAGATCCGTTGATGTCTTGGACCAGCTTCTCTATAAACATATTCTAAAGAAATTCTTAATGATCTTTGGCTTTTCTAGAGGTCTGAGAAATGTTCTATCCACTCATCTCTGCTACGTCTCCAGTTCCCACTATGACTAATGGACAGCCTGCTGGCAGCCAAAGCACCCTGTCCCCACCGACTATTTCCAAAAATGCTGTGACTCTAGGCTCTGTGAGGTATGTAGATCCCCTAAGGTCCCTTGTCCACATTCCTATGGCAACCCCTAAGGCCTGTCTGCAGGGTTGGGGGAAATTCCTACTGACTCCTGGAAACTAGAGTGAACTACAGCCACTGAGTTCAAACTCTGGGGGATTTGGCCGGTGATTCCCCCATGAGCCCTGGCCGTCAACCCTTTGCACAGATAGTTGGGCTGTTTACCTTATAGCTTGGACATTGGAAAGCCAAGAGTACACGGAAGGACTTTTGGATTCTTCTGTAAGGCAATCCCGTTTCCATATCTCGGATCATAATGCTCTGACCCTACCTACTCCCTGGTAGGAACTTGAGCAGCAAACCCTTGAGTAGATTCAGAAGACTAGGAGCACACAGATGGGATGGTGTATTGTCACAGATGCTGAATTGCCCTTAAACACAGATACTAGGTTAATGCTGTGGCACTGTGTCCCATGTGTTCCAAATAACACCCAAAACAACTATTCAAAGAGTCTGGGGCATCCATGGAGTTCCAAGTGGGGGCATTGGAAAAGGGACAATAATATTAGCCCTCACCCTCCAAGAGAGGTTTCTAAATATTCCCTCGTTTTGAAATGGGGGCCCTGCAGCGTCAACAGCTGGACAAGACTGGCATTTTCCCACTGACGCCTAAGCCAGTGGAAAAACGTGGAGTTTATCCTGCCTGCATCAGAAGTTGCTGCCTGTGGGACCCTCCCCAGGGGCTAGTGGGTTTTGAGCCCAGAGCCTAAGCAGAGGTCTCCCACTGAAGGCTGGACCTTCTGGCTTTGGGCAGCACCCAGTGGAAGCTGCAGGACACTAAATGGAGGTCTGCTCCTGCCTGTCTCCTGCGCTGGGATCATAGAATGGACCGACGAGGTGTGAGCTAAATAAGCCAAAAGTGCTCACTAGCATATTACTTATATTTTGGACAACAGATGGGCTGATTGGTCCCCAAATGGTCCAGTCGGTCACTGTGAATTGAAAATGGTCCAGTCAAGTACCAACTAGGGGGTGGGACCCCGAAAGAAGCTACAAGGCAGGGCAGGAGCCAGCTTGAGAGCTCTTAGCCTCCACACTCTGAGTACCATTTTGTGCTTGGCCTCTCAACAAAGAACGGACAAGCATTCAGAAGCCAACCTCCTAGGAGAGAAGCCTCAGGGCTTCAGAGTAACTGGGTGGCTACACCTTTTTCTGGTCTTGCTGCTTCTACCACCTGAAAAAAGCACCAAAGGCCGCCGGCCTGGTCTCATCAGGCTCAGCCTCCCATGGCTGCTGCCTCCAACGCTGCCTGGTTCAGCACAGTGCTGTCCATTCTGGTTTCAGACTGTGGCTGTGGGCTGCTGGAGCTTCATCTCAGTGGCTGCACCTGGGAGCACCTCCAGCTGCAGTGAGTTGGCCTCTGGCCTTGCTGCCTGCTACAAGTGTGCTAGGAGCTTCAGGCCCCAGTGACCAGACAGTGCCATCTGGAGGGAACGGGCTTTCCTTTGGAGTTCTGGACACCATGGATGCTGCCTGGGTGAGACAGTGAAGTGCCAGCAAGGCACAGAGCAGGTTCTCTATGGATGGGGCAAACTGACTTTTTCAGGCTTCTAATGGTATTTCTATTTTTTAAATATTTATTGATTTATACATACAGAGCTGGGATACAGGTCAGAGGTGCAGGGGTGGTGAGAGGATTCGCCAGAGACAGAGTGGGGAGCAGAACAGGTAGATCGACGAAGTACACTGCTGAGGGGAGCAGTGGGCCGGCCAGGAGAGGTCTGCCACGCCATGTGGGTCAGCTCCGGGGCTGGGATCAAACTCATGCTGACGTGGCTTTAGCTTCTTAGTGCTGTGCTTTAACCCACTGTGCCACCAGGGAGGGCCTGTTATTTCTATTTTTAATGTTATTTGTAACGAGGCAACCGGGTGCAGAGCAAGCAGGGAGGCCTCGGGGCCTAGAGGCTGCTAAGCCTCCCAGCCTGCAGTGAATCTTTACTCTTTCTGGACTCTCTGGAGTTCTCTGTGGTCTCTTGGCTGCTTCCCACTACACGATAACCTTCCGCCTCCCATCCTCTGTGCTTCTCCCTTAGATGCGCAGCCGCATCTAAGTGATGCACCCACTCACCCATGCATACTACACACTCCAGGCCTGCATCTAAGACCACAGGTGTCCATCACAGATGCTAATGTGAGGCGGGGGTTGGTAAAACACCTGATAACTCGCAGTTACCCTACAGATAGCTGGCTACTTCTGGCCTCAGTGACTTTCGGTTTAACCGTAGTAACTTTTGTTTTACGTAAGCCCCATTGTTGTTACTGAGCCTGCGTGGTCTTGCAGTTGAGTGCATGGGGGAGAACCCATAGACTGTCACCAATCCTCTACTGGGTCCTGTCCTTGGATGGCAACAGCCACTATTGTCCTGTTTAGTGCTGGCTGCAAGCTTATGGCCTGTTGACAAACACCACAATCCTAGCCCACTTGTCCTGTCCCATCCCACCCATCTTCTCACACCTCCTCCTGGCAGCCGTGATGCAGGGCTTAATCTGATTACGTTCCTAATGTAGACTACCTCCCTTTCCTCAAGGCTGAGGCCACACATTCATTTTCCCACTGGTATCATTTGGCCACCTTCTCTGTGCCCTCACCTGCCCGAAGATATTATAGCAAACAGAGAAGCCCTCACTAAATTTGCCCAGCAAGAATTCAACGACAGTCCACAAAGCCTGTCTTCACTGCATACTGGAATAACTCTAATGAGAAAACCTGGTCTCTAAAATAAGATGGTCTTGGACATTATCACTGCCTTACAAAGAGACACCTGTGCCATTATCCAAACACAAATGTTTCACGTTCATACCTGATGAGTCTGCTAGCTGCCTCCTTCATTAAATCACATAAGGATACAAGTGAACCCCCTGAGCAAGCCAACCCTCCATGTAGGGGACTATATAAATCAGTGGGTCTGATCACGGGGCTCTGCTGGGAAAAATGACTCTGGGAACCATTATCTTTATGTTTCCTCTTGAATGCACCTATGCTGTTGCATCTGATTGCAGTGCAATCAGCTGTCAAAAGGGAGCCACCTTCAAGCTGGCAAAACCCTGCGCTGACCTCTCTGGGCACCCTGCAGAGGAAGAGGGCATGCAAGACTGTAAGAGCCAGTCACCAGGGCACATGGGGGCAGAATGGTGGAGGAGGTTATGGAGAGGATATGACCCTCAGCTGACCTGACAATTTGGAAACTGACATTGCCTCCACCTCCATGGAACACTGAATTATCAAGGGTAAGAACTATGTTTCATTCCTCTTTGTTTCCCCAAACCAGTGTAGTGTTTGGTAGAGAGTTAAACTTCAAAGCATTTGTTAAGCAAACTGCTGAGCCAAAGATTAGGGAGATTCACAGGGGAAGTCTTACCCTTAAAGTGGCTTGAGATGTGAGAAAATGGACCATGGGCATGGGGTGCAGTGGAGAGGAGGAGCAGGATTGCTTTATGCATGTGGAAGGCTGACATGGTGAGTTTGAGTGTGTTTGGCATGGGGGTGGGGTTGGTGGAAATGTTTGTCTTGTACCTAAAGTTGGGAAGGAGATGCTCTTTGAACCTATGTTTTGGAGGTACCCATGCCTGAGTTCAAGTTCCAGCTCTGGCACTTACTGACTATGCCACTAGGTCAAAACATGTATTCTGAGCCTCAGTTGCCTTATCTGTGTTATAGGGGCAATAACAACCCACACCTGTCAAGGTAGTTGTATGCATTATATGAACTGATAAGACAACCTCACATAGGTCCTGACATATGATAGAATCTTAGTTAATATTGGTCCCATCTTGAAAACTCTATGCCTTCTCTGGCAACCTTACAGGTGGGGGTCCTGGCCCCTGGGAAGGCACAGGTGTGAGATTGACCAGTGACCATCCTTCACGCTCCCTCATCATGCTCCTGTTTCTTAAGCTCCCGGGACCAATACATCACCAATTTTAAGGTTACATGTGGCCAGAGTGCCTCCAGCCCCTGTTTTCAGTTTTGATCTGGTTTAGCAAGAAGTAAGATAGGGTAGAGAAATATTTCAGAGTCAGCCGAATCAGGAGAGACATCCCCTACACTTCCAAAGAGTGTGTTTAAACATGGTGTGCCCTGGGGACAGCGGGTTGGCTCAAAATGCACCGCCATGTGTCTCTGCCCTAACTTGAGTGTGCATTGAACTGTCCACTGGAGCTTTCTGTCCCCTTCCTCCTGATGGGGAATTAGCATCACTGATTCTATAGGTTTCAGTCATCAGCTCCCTGGCACTGGGGCAAGCCACACCCACCTGCTAGCAGGGACAGATTTCCAGTGGATTTTCAGGAAAAAGGAGGTAGGCAACTGAAAACCCAGTCCTTTGTTCCCACCTAGAGTTCCAGCTGTGCTTCCATCTGGTGAACCCTGGGGCAGAACACACACACACACACACACACACAATGCAGTTAGCCCTACCTGGAACCCCAGCTGTCTTTCTTTCTGGCTTACAGAATCTCCTGACTGCTCAGTGGGAGGGGGGCTGGCTACTTGTTGCTCTTTCTCTGGGCTTCCTAGGGGCTGCTGACTCTTCTGCCTCCTGAGGTGCTCCTCCATCCCTGGAATGTGCGCCCCCACCAGGCTGGCAGCAAAGGCAAGGGGCACTGTGGGTTGAAAAAACTGCTGGCCCTCCCCATTTCAGCCTCTTTGGAGACCCCAGGCAGAGTGTGACGCTGGTGGCCACACTGGCCAAAACAATGCTCCCTCCACCAGCCACACAGCCTCAGGGGAGAGGATCAGGAGCCTTCCAGCAGTCTGTGGGGGGCGGGAGTCATGGCTTCTTTCCCAGGTCTGGTCTGGGGAGAGGCGCCCAGTAGCTCTCTCCAAAAAAAGGCTACAGAGAAACTTTCCAGGGTCCCTAGGCACAGCCAGCTCTCTCTCCCCAGCCCAGTCCTTCCCCCAACAGCCTGGCGGAGGAGGGGTGAGGGAGGCGCTTGCTTTACATTCTGGGGTCTCACTTTTCTTCCGGGGAGGCAGGGAAGAGCCGAGTCCGGGTCGAACCCCCATATCCTTCCCAGCCTCCCGGCTTTCCGCGGCAGCCAGCTCGCTGCCTCCTCTCCCAGGCGCTAGCCGCTGCCGCCGGCATTTGGAATTCTGCCCAAAAAAGGGGGCCTGGAGGAGGAGGCGGAGAGGAGGGACGGAGGCCGGCGGTGAGAAACGGAATCCGGAGTCCAAAGCAGCACCGGGAGAGGAACGGAGCAGCGGCCGCGGCGTGAGCTGTGTCCCCGCCACTGCGCCCGCCCGCAGTGCATCAGCGTGGCCGCCCTGACAGCCCGAGGATGCTTAACACCGGGCATTATGCACTGGTTAACAGGCTCCGAGCTGCCGAGCGACTTGTTTTAAGCATTTTCTCCCTCGCTCTCGCTTTTAATCTTGTCTCTAGTGGCGTGTGTAGGGGGGAGGACTTTATTTCCATTGGCTAAGCTCTCCCTTCCCACCCACATCTCTTCCACATCACCTTGGTGTCTCCCTAAATAAAACCAGCCCTCCTTATCGCCTGGAAAAAATCAGGAGCTAGAGTTTGAATGGGTTTTATATAAACACTCACCCCTGTCAGCGTGCGGCTGGGCTCTCTGGATAAACTCACTGCGCCCGGCCTGATGCTTGTCTTGCCTTCTCTCCTTTGAACGTCAAGGTTTACTCAGAGCCTGAGGACTGGGAACTCTTCCCTGAAATTTGATCAACCTGAAGCCAGTTGCCGAACTGCACAGGGTCCCCATGGACCTCAAGGAGAGCCCCAGCGAGGGCAGCCTGCAGCCCTCTAGCCTCCAGATCTTCGCCAACACTTCCACCCTGCACGGAATCCGCCACATCTTCCTCTACGGGCCACTGACGATCCGGCGCGTGCTTTGGGCCGTGGCCTTCGTGGGCTCGCTGGGCCTGCTGCTGGTGGAGAGCTCAGAGAGGGTGTCCTACTACTTCTCCTACCAGCACGTCACTAAGGTGGATGAGGTGGTGGCCCAAAGCCTCGTCTTCCCTGCCGTGACCCTCTGCAACCTCAACGGTTTCCGGTTCTCCAGGCTCACCACCAACGACCTGTACCACGCCGGGGAGCTGCTGGCCCTCCTGGACGTCAACCTGCAGATCCCGGACCCTCACCTGGCTGACCCCATGGTGCTGGAGGCCCTGCGGCAGAAGGCCAACTTCAAACACTATAAACCCAAGCAGTTCAGCATGCTGGAGTTCTTGCATCGCGTGGGCCATGACCTGAAGGATATGATGCTCTACTGCAAGTTCAAAGGACAGGAATGTGGCCACCAAGACTTCACCACAGTGAGTACTTGGCTTTCAGCTTCACTCTTGTGCTTGGTTTTCTCGAGAAGTGCCACGCGGGTGGTCTCCTGCTTGATTCGTGGTCTTCCTGTGCTTTGAAGCAGGAGAGAGGGAGCTATGCCTCAGGGGAAGGCCACGCAGGTAGTTGGCCAAGTTGTTGGAACTGGTTGTCGAAGGTTGTCTGCTGGGCATGGTTGTGTGTCAGACGTGAAGAGTAAGCAGGGGGCTTGCGCGGGGCTCACTTCTCCAGAAGTGCCGAGGTGGCATCCTCCCGGACCAGTGAAAGGAGGCCTGAGTTGTCCATGGTCCAGGGCACTTGGTGTCTGAGCAGTGCGATTGGAACAGCTTGTCATTGACGAGGTAGCATTTTCTCTCTGTCTCTACTCGGAAGTGGCATCAGGCACTGCATCCTGTGGGCTGGGCTGGAGTTAAAGCTGCCAGAGGATGGGGGTGTGGGGCCCTCGGCAGCCTGGATGGTTCAAGTGACTTTGCTGGAGCAGGTGCTGCTGCAGAGGTGTGGAAGTCACTTGTGTGGGTTCCGAGCTCTGGGTGGGGAGGAGAGGCTGGGGACCCTGGGTCTCTCTGGTCTGCGGGGGGTTAGGAAGCAGAGATATCCAGGGCGCTTGGGCCAAAGACGGGGGTCCAGGTGGAGGGCTATGTACAGCGTGGTCAGTAGGTGCCTGTGAGGGTGAAACGGTCCAGACTGGCTTGTCTGGGAGCTCCAGCTGAAACTCAAAGGCAGGGTTTGCTGTCTGTACAATCGCTAACAACGTGGTGAGAGAGGAGTGGTATGGGGAGGGGGCAAGCAGCTGTGGGATTGGAAAGCCTGGAGGAGGAGTGTGGAGCTGAGTAATGAGGAAAAGCAGAGGGAGATGTGGTTCATCTTCGGGATGGGGCTTCCCGGAGGGGCAGAGAAAGAAAGGACCATAGAGCAGCTGCTGCCAGGGACCTCTGTTAGCCCAGTTAGTGGGCTGTTAGGCATAACAGGTCAGACTGCAGCTGCAGACACCTCCGTGCCTCTGGGTAAGCCTGGGTCACCAGGGTTGGGGTACCCTCCAGAAGCCTAGTCGGTCTAGCTGATTCTCCCCTAGCTGCCTTAGGGAGAATCAAGAGCTTTTGAGTCCCAGAGTCTTCAACTGAATTGCAATTGTAAGTTCAGATGGCAGGTGCAGCAGTTGCAAAGGGATCAGAGTCTGTGAGCACTTGTCTGAAGCCCTCTGCCTAATTAAGACATGCCCTACTGTTTACAGGGTTTATCCATTTCCCTGCCCGCTCTCAGATCCCTGCCTACCAGTCTCTTGCACGGAGGAGTTTCTTTTAATGCTACAACCAGTCTCTGTCGGCAGCCTCTGTGCTTGCTGTTGGCTGTTTCTGATTCTGGAAAAGCCCAGAGTGCCAGGGGCATTGCCTCTCACATCCTATAGTACCTTTTCCTGGGGGAGCCGTTTTGTATTATCCTGTTTTAAACATTGTGAAGAAGAGCACAAAATCAGCAGTAGTGTATGTATGCTGAAGGGGAAGCCAGTCCGAGCTGGGGGAAGGGACCGGCAATGCTGGATACCTTTCAGAATGGAGCAAACAAGATCTTAAAACATGACACACGAATGATGTCTTAGGCAACCTGGGGAGAGATGGGGAAAATGCCTTATTCTTGGAGGCTGAACCCATCCCTGTATCCCACCGTGCTTACCAGTGCCGTGGCAACGCTCAGCTTCACCACTGCACCATGCAGCTCGGAAATGCACTCAGCTGTTCCTCTGTCTGCCTGAACACACATGGAACACAGCAAAAAGAGGGTGCCACAGAGAGAAGATGCAGTCAGGAGCAGACCCTGGACTGAGCTCTCAGGCGTCTGCATAATCATATGTCCAACCAGTGTCTTTCTCTCCATTCAGGATCAACTTCCATTCAGAAGCAAAGGTTCTTTAACTCTGGGCTGCTGCTTTGCACTAGGTCTGTCGTTTGAGTTGCTGGGGGTCTCAAGAGGCCAAAGATCAGGCCTTAAAACCTAACCTGAGCCTTTGACCTCTCCAGATTGTCTCTCAGATAGTCAAGTTACCTGTGGACAAATCAGGTTCATTACTTAGTAAGTGGCAAGTCCTTGTCTGGTGTCATCATCAAGTTCGAGACTGACCTGGTGGATTAGCTCTCTTTGGGCTAACTCAGTGTACGACCTCCCCAGGACTGACACTGGACAGAGCCGCAGGGACGGCTCTTCAAGCTGTTCAGGGAATGTCAGAATGCATCCTGGTGCACCCCCTCCAGGGAAGCTAGAGGAAGACCTGGGTTCAGGGGGCTGATCTTTGAAACTCTTTGATAAAAGTAAGAAGCCTGCTGACCCTCTATAAGGGGGAGGGAGGAAGTGCAAGATGCCAAGTTTGTTCCAAGACCCAGCAGTGAGGGGTCGTCCTCCCCATCCCCCCTCGTATCCCTGTCCCTTTTGGCCTGGAGTTGAGGTGTGCCTATCCTTGAAACCCCACCCCATAATCCTTGAAACCCCACCCCAGAAGAGAGCCGAGAGCCCTGCTGGTGGTTGTCAGAGAAGTTGGCTCACTGGCCTCTCTCTCTCTCTTCCCTTCATTCTGCTGCGTAGCCCTTTCCTCTGGATTATTTCTAGAGTACTCTGCTGAGTGACTTCTTTCTGTAAGTGCTGTAGCTGAATTAATGGAGAAGTTAAGTGTGAGGGAGTAGATGTCACAGGTGACTGGCTTTTTCTGTTTTGCTTTCTCTATAAAGCATACCTAGTACATGTCTGGAGCTAATGTTTTTGCATAAGCTTTCTTATTCCAAGTTCTTAGCCGGTGTGCAATGAAGTGCGTAATACCCTTTAATTAGTGAATGAGCCATGATTCTAGCAGAGAGAAAAGCAGTTTGTGGAGGTGAAAAGTCGCCAAGAAGCCAGGTGTGGAATTGCGATTGGCGGGTAAACAGGTGTGCTCCTTGCTCATGCAGGTATTCTCATAGCCAGGGACCCGAACCACGTGACTTCAAATGGGCACGTACTTTCCTATAAAAATACTTGATTCCATTGTGTTTACTAGGTGGTAACCCCTCAGCCCTCCACCTAGAGTGGAAGGACAGAGGAGGCTGAAAGGCCGGACAGGGTAGTGTTCTGGCCATAATGTTGGATGATTGGAGGTTAAGACTAGGAGTAGAAAGACATAGAATTTGAATTCCAATTCCATCATGTTCTAGCTTACTGTCCTGATTGTATGTAGCACCTGCCCTAGGCTTCCACTTAATCATGCATCATGTGCATAAAGTGGGTTCTAAATCACAGCAATGGAGGCCACACGGGGAAGATGCAACATGTGAGGCAATCTTTGTGAGAGTCCCTTTGTACTTTTTTGACAGCTTCGCAGCCATGAGGCAGGTTATGATCACGATCCTATCATAGGAGAGTTGCTATTGCCCAGCCTATCCACCCTCTTTGCAGCCTCCTGTGGGGGTCAGGCTTGATGAGCAATGCTGCAAAGATAACCCAGGGGTGGGGGGGGGTGTCGGCAGCTATTTTCTTTTGTGGAGCCCTAATTAACACCAACCTCTCTAAGAGGTGGATTCTTACATTGCAGGTCACCATTGGGTTGAGCAGCCTACTGTTGCCGACAGGTGGCAACGCCAAAGTCTGGTCTGGGACCATCATGTGACCATGTCAAACTATCTCTCTACTCATCACCTTGTGGTACCTGCCTCCAACTTCAGGAGTGCAAATGACCCTTCAGTTTGCATGTTTAACTCGATTTGCATAGTTGCATATATTTGTACTTTAAGATAGAGATTTCTTGAGAAAAAACTTTTTTTTTTTTTAATTGAAAAGTCTCTCCTCAATTGTTAAAAGCACTTCCATGGATCTTATTTTTCAACACCACACAGCATTAGAGATGTGAAAGTTTAGGAAGCTCACCTTCTTGGAACTTTTGGCCCAAGGCTGGCAGGTCATAACTAACCATGAGTTTCTTCTGGTTACTGAGAGGCAGGTATGTGAAGAAGGTGGGCTTCAGGGAGACACATGGTTGGAATTCCAACTCTGTCCCCTATAGATTGGCTGAGTCATCATGGGGGAGTTCACGTTACATCATCTGCCGTCAGAGCTGTGCTCACCAGCCTGGCAGCTTGGTGAAGGCAGCCAAGTTCTTTCTGGTGCCGGCCCTAGTGTCGTGCAGGCCTTTGCTTTACGAGGTGTCCCACTGGGGTACTAACAGGGCTGCATTAGTGCTCTCCCACCCTTCTGAAGGGTGACTCACCCAACTTTGGAACACAGGCAACTGCTGTGTTAGTGGGATTCTTAATGCGCCTAAGTTCTCAACATATGCTAATCTTTCACTGCTCTCAGTCATTTG